CCCCCACTGGCTGGACCCTGGCCAATGGGGTAAGTCACGAGGGAGCTGGTGGAGGGGTGTGTGTGAGGGCTGGGGAAGGATTTGAACTTGGGGTCACACTATACATTCTGTTTTATAATCTGATCTCCCACCCCTCCCCCTCATTTACTGTATTTACACTTAGCAGTTTCCTGTCAAATAATAAAGATCTTCCACCATCACTTTTTTTTACTGTCACTTTTAAAGTCCACCAGGATGGATGCACCAGAATCTCCTTGTCCAGTATACAGAGGAAGGACGTGTGAGAGGTGTCCAGTTTCTCTTTCTTACAAACACCTGTGCCATGACCATTTTTGTTCAAACCCCCTTTTGCAGTTGTCTGACCCTCCCTCTCTCTCCCTCTGTCTGTCTCTCTCTCAGATAAATTCTGACAGGTGCTGGGCAGGACAGCAGGCTTCACCGTGTGATTGATGAGCTCTGGGCCCTCCCCCAAGCCAGAAGTGCCAGGCCCAGGACAGGGAGGGGGATCAGAGATCAGTCCAGGGCCACGGGGTCAGGAGGGCAGAGCAGGCTGTGGCTGCAGGTCCCTCCTGCCTGCTCCAGGTGAGCACCCCACCTAGCTTCCACCTGCTCTTTCCCGCCCAACCCCACAGGTCAGGCTGACTGGGGACACAGGGAAAGGCCATACACAGGGTCTGTCCTGTGTTGTGTCCACACAGCCCCATCCCAGGCATGAGCAGAGGGCCTAGCCTCAGGGTGGGACCCCCACAGTCCATCCAATTCACATCTTGCCAAGTGTTCCCCCAGCTTCTGCTAGAATGCTTCTATGGACCGACAGCTCACTTCTTCCTGCCAGGCTTGTGGGGAGCAGATAGCGCATGTATTTTTTTTATCACGTGAATATTCAACAGAATTGTATGATCACTTAGTGATTGCTTGAAAGCTAAGAGAAAGCTTTGGAGTCAGACACCAGGGTTCAAAACTCAGCTCCACATTTACTAGTTTTGTGACCTTGGGCACATGATTTTACCTTGCCAGCTCAGTTTCACCATCTGTAAATGGGTTTGTAATACTGTGATTGGCCCATTTGATTATGGAGGCTGAGAAATCCCGCAACCTGCTGTCTGCAAGTTGGAGGCCCGGGAAAGCCAGTTCTAGTCCAAACCCGACGGCCTAGGAACAGGAGGAGCCAATGGTGTAAGAACCAGTCAGATTCCAGGGCCTGAGAACCAGGATCAGCAGATGTCCCAGAGCAGAAGACGGATGTCCCAGCTCAACAGAGAGCAAATTTTCTCTCCCGTCCCTCTTTTCGTTCTATTCTAGCCCTTAATGGATCGGATGATGCCCACTCATTTCTTTATTCCGTCTACTGATTCCAATGCTAATCTCTTCCAGAAACACCCTCACAGACACACCCAGAGATAATGTTCTACCAGCTATCTGGGTATTCCTTAGCCCAGTCAAGCTGACACATAAAATTAACCATCACAACCATCCATCAGGTTCACCAATTATCAAGACTTTGCTGCACATTAACTTTGTCAATCCCCAGTATCACTTGTGCTGTATTCTGTTGGTTACAAGCAAGTTGCTAAGGCCAGCCCAGATTCAAGAGGAGGGGAATTAGACCCCACCCCCTGATGGGAGGAGTGGCAAAGAATTTGTAGTCACCCTTGAAACGAAAACAAGGAGCAAAAGGTGGAGGGTTGCAGGCTCCTTCCTAGGGCTAATGAGGGGACTGGCCCATTCTTGGAAGAGGTGACTCCAGCCCATGGGGGAAGATGAAGACCTCTTGCTCTTTTCTCACTCCTTCCTCCACGTGTGATGGTAGTGCCCACACACCTGGGCAGGAGGCGGACGAGGCCAGTGAGGTCAGCACGGGGAAGAGATTTCTGAGTTTTCTCCCAAGGGTGATGGGAAGCCATGGAAGGGTTCAGAGCAGAGATGTGACATGGTCAGATGTGAGTCTGACCCAGATCACGCTGCTGTGCGCTGGGTGGAGCTGACCGGATTGGGGATGGTGGAGGATAAGGGTGGTTTGGACCATTCTTGGAGGCGGGACAGGAGGTGGGCAGGAGGGAACGGACCCCAGAACTGTTGGAAGGGTAGCTGTGGGGACTGGTTGCAGAGAGTGGAGCTGGGAACAGGGTGGGGCGAAGGGCTCAGAGGTATGGGGCAGTCCACAGAGGGGAGCACCCCTGGGGAGACTGGAAAAGGTGGCAGCCACTCCCTCACAAGCTGCAGCCCACTACCTGGCTCTGGCTCTCTTGGGACTCCAGCAGCCCCCTTTCCACAAGGCAGAGCTGAACGACCACCAGATAAATTCCTTCCCTAATCCCACACTCGTGCCCAGCCTCGAGGACATCCAGGGTCTGGTGAGGCTCCCTGAGGGGTGTTCCAGGCTACAGTCCCAGGGAGACTCTGCTCCAGCTGGGAGCCAGCCTCAGGGCCACATCTTCTCCGGAACTCTTTCCTCGCACTCCAGCTGCAGCTGACACCAACATGGCCAGATGGCGACATCTAGAGGCAGCTTTCTGCCTCACGTTCCTCACCACAGAACTCCAGGGCAAAGGGCCTGTGCCAGCCCAGGGTTCCCCATTGGTGTTCTCGTCATGCCGTGTCAGAATTTAGTGACCAGGCAGAGCTTGGAAGAGGCCCCGTCCTCCATCCCTCCATGTCAAAGTCCAGTGCGGGGTCAGCAAAGCCCCTAGAACCCTGAATGAAGCCATGGATACTCTCCCCTCCCACAAGCCAAGGAGCACGTTAGCTTGTTGAGGACAGTCCCTATTCCCCACCCACTGCACTGGTTTGTTTGAGAGGAAGGGTCATCCCAGGAGCTCAGTCAGACTCTTCTCACAGAGCCAACTCCTCACCCCATCTCACCATCCAAGCCCATCCTGGGGCCTGGGTCTCAAGTGAGAATACACAATGGCCCTCACCTTTCCTTAGTGATCCCTTTTTAGTTAATTGTTCATTTCCATCCATCCATACCCATGATCTTTTCTGGAACTGGACATTCCTCAGCCTCTCCTCACTTCCATGCCACCACTCACAGTTTCCTCCTATTTCTCTGACCTCTCTCTCTCTTTTGCTGATTCCTCTTCATCTGCTCTTCCTTTAATCATCCACCCATCCCTCATCCTTCCTCATTCATTCTGCAATCAGCAGGATGCGGGGAGGGGATGGTGGAGGAGGGAGACAGGGGCTGGACGTCAAGCCTAAAGTTATGGGGATGGGGGGTGGGGAGGAAAAAAAGACAAATGTGCAACAACACCTGGTTGAAACATAACAGGGAAAGCGAGAAGATTGAGGTAGGACTTTCTGCATGGCCCCTACTCCACCTCCATGCTGATGAAGGGCAAGCCATGCCCACAGTCCTTTCTGAGGTCACTGCATGGCCTTGCTTACTTCTCCATCACTGGAGATCAGCTGAGGGGCTCCTCCTTGCCCATCCAAATACATTTGGGTGCTCTCCCTTGTTACTGCACCAGGTTCATTTTTGCCCGCCGCCCAGAAAACCAAACATGGAGACAATGAGATTGCATCAGAGAAAGCGTTTAATCACAAGGCAGCCATGTGAGGAAGAGAGAGAATGCGTCTCAGATCCGCTTCCCCAAAAATGGGGACTCAGGCATATTTATGGGATAGGGGGCTAGGTGGTCTGAAATGTAGAGATAGATGATTGGAGGTGAGGAGAGGTAAGGTAATTGACGATCTGCACAAGTGTAGTCTGACTCCACGCCTCTTCATAGGACGCTTGTTCACAAAATGGTGGTGTTAGCATGGTCTGAGGGTGGAGTTTTTAGCCTCTTGATGTCAAAAGGTTGCTTATTGGATGTCTGCGTGGGCCCAGTTGATGAGTTGGTGGTCTCAACTGGCCTGAAGTGGACAAGGGGTTCTAATTCCTGAAAAACAGCTCACACACCCATTACCATGGTGATCCAGGCTCCTGGGAGATGTTACCTATAGGAGCCTAGTGGGAGTCAGAGAGCATATTGCCTCAGCAGCACAGTTAACAATAGGTGGGTTAAACAGCTAAAAGCTATAATCAGTAATTGCAAAAAGGAAAAAAACTTTAGTTCCTAGCTACTTAATCATTAATGGCTAACTATTTGTTGGTTTCAATCCCCGTATTCTTTGGTCATTCCTCATTCTTGAGGGATTCGGGGTGATGACTGATCTAGCTACTTCCTGGTGAATTGGGGAATAGATCTGGGTTAGCACTCTTTTGCAAATATTCTCTTGTTCCTAGCTTCAGATTGACATTTTGCATTATGAGAATTTTGTACATTGCTCAACAGTTTTGGAACAACACCTAAAGGCACATTTTATAATCGAGTATCAGACCAGAAGGATAAGAAGTATAGACAACCCAAATTTTAAGTCACTGAAAAATACACCTAATCCCAGTGGGTCCTCCATCTGATCTCCAGGTGGGGGCAGACGTCTGCTTTTAGTTCCTAATAGTCTTTTGTTTTACTGGATATGCATCAGGGAGTGGAGCAACACCCTTTACCCTGATCTTTCAGTTGTCATTGATGATGGCTATCAGCATAGACTCTCTTCCTGGGGGGGTCATCACATTCCTAAGGAACTCAAAAGAACAAAGTTATCAACCTATAGCAGCTGGGAGGGGCCATAAAACCTATAGAGTATGTCTGGGTTATTTAGTCAGAGGTTGTTCAAAGTTACAATATTGTTTCTTTTCTACAATATGGCTTCCCTTAAGTCAACCTTGTGTTGAGCTGGTATCACCCTCAGTCTGCACTGCAACTCTTGCTGCTACATCCACAAAGCCCCTGGAGCCTGACCTCAGACTGGACCCACCCCTATGCTTCACTCCTCTTGCTCCTTTCGCTGGACTGGCCTCTCCTCATCCCCATTGTGCCCAATGTCATGTGACCCAGCTGGATGGGGCCATCCCTGGACAGCTCCTCATACCTGGCCCCAGGGCATGCAACGTTTGTGCAGGGTGGACTGAACAGAGCAGCAGCTCGTTGTACACATTCCTTCTGCTCATTTGTTGCAGGAGAGTGGGGTTGAGCAAGTGAGGATTTTCCAGAATCCAGAAGGGCATGAAGACTTAAGGTCTGAGACAGAGCGGGCTTTGGAAAGTCCCTCCACAGACCACTTTCCAGGAGGTGAGGGTAAGTAACCCGTCCCAGCCTATTTACTCCCTTGCTGGCGAAGGTCAGAACTGGAACTCTGGCCCCCTCCCTCCACCCTTGCTCCTCCCAGCCAGGATTCCCACGTGAAACAGATAAGATTGGGGGCAAATAGAGCAAAAACACTCTGACGCACAGAAGCCCAGTGAAGGTTCACCCATCCCAGAGGGAGCCGCTTGGAGCACCAGCCACCCACAATTAAGAAACTCAACAGCCTGGAAACCACTTAAGGGCATTTAGTGGCATAAAGTAAAATGGAAACAAAAACTCTAGAGGTGAAAGAAAGAGTATAAATTTAATTTTTTACCCCTCTAGTTAAAAGAGCCCAAAGAACTCAGTTTTTAAATTTTAATTCTTCCTGTTTTCCCTCTATTTTTATCCTGTTCCAAAATGATGGGATATTGTAATGTACATGTTAAGTATATCTAGCTTGACTCATAACAACCAAAGGACTATCAAAAGAGTTAACAGAATTCTATTTTATTCTCAGCAATGACCAAAAAAAAAGCCTTCAAGCTTCTTTTCAGCACCACCTACCTCTCCACCCCCTCCCCAACCACCCTGGGCCAAAATTACGATGAGGTTTTTCCGTGCATGATTATCCCTTTCTGAAAGCCCAGTGTTGGGACAAGTGCAGGGGCTGTGGACTTGGTTCAAAGCCCAGAGTACCATGATGTCATGGGCAAGTTTTTCAACCTCTGGGCCTGTTTTATCATGTTAAAAAGCCGGTAATAGCCCCTTTTTATCCTGTTATCCTTACCAGACCCCAGACACTCCCTTTTCCATCTTTCCCTCCCCCAAATCTGCTCCTCCTCAAGGCCCAGCTTAACCAACCTCACTCACAGTGTTAATGGCTCCAGTGTTAATGGCTCAGTAAAGTGTTAATAATTGTATTTGCATTTAAAGAAGCACCCATTAGAGCAGGACTTATAACTGAGGCAAGGAGATATAGCTCAGTTAGTGGGAGTGGGATAGCCTGGGGTCTTCATCTCTATCTAGGTAGCTGCCTAGACCAATTCCCCAAAGCTAGCTTTGCATTTAAGATTAACACAGAAACTAGTTTTACAAGTTCAGTTAAATAACATGAAATCTCGGCGGACCTTGGCTCCGTGTGCAGACCCACACAACAGATGCCTTCACTTCCATTTCCTTCTTCTCAGGTCCCAGCACACACGGTTAACACGAAATGAGGAATTCCTTTGTGGTCAGCAGCCAAATATTTGCAGAGGACCGAACCTCTCTTTTGGGTGGACTCTTGAACAGACTAAAATCTTCCCACGGCCAGAGAAAGGTGGTGAAACAAAGGTTACCGTAATCTAGTACCCTAAGGGCCTACAAAAATTAGTATTCAAGCCAAAAGAAACCAAATTTCATTTTGCCTCTTTTATTTACAACTTTAAATATCTCTAACGGTTAGAAAACTGATGTGAAATACGAACACTGGTATACAGCTTAAAATACAAATGTCCGTAATTATTAAAGAACACGGTTAATAATTTTTCCAAGTAAATGCTTGATAAGAAATCTTTTCCAGGAGGCAAGTTAGACATCAGGTGCCTGAAGCATAAGGACCAGAGCTTCAGGGTGCCCAGGAGATGGCTGCACAGCTCAACCATGTTTTCCACTCGGTGATCCACACAGCAGCTTGCTTGACGAGTGGCACCACCAGCCTTTCTAGCCCGCTCCAGCGCTAAACCAGGGCTGCTTCTGCCACGGGAAAGAGCCACGTCCAGAGACAAATGAACCACTTGAAGATGAAACTAGCATGGCTCAGTTCCAGAATATTCTGGTTTGACCTAGGAAGCTAAGGCTTCCCAAAAACTGTCAAATGAAGATGGGTCACCAGGGTCTGATGGAAAAAAGTCATGCCAGATTCAGTCTGAACATAATTTTTTTGTTCCATACAATTAATTATTCTCTTCTTTAACTAACTCAAGTTCAAGCTGTTTATATTTCACTTATATACAAAAGGTGCCAGCTCAACTGTGTCTAACCCGAATTTCAGCCGGTGTGCCCGATACTAGAGATCTTTTAGGCCAACAGTACTTCTGGGAAACATATGTTTATATATTAACATACCTCAAAGTTTACATTTTCATTATAATAAATTAGCTTTAGTGTTACAAATAACATCTCAGGAAGCTGAATCTAAGTAACTCGACCTAGCGTACTAATTTGAATTTAGAACTAATACCATCTTCTCTATCCATTTTGAGCGATCCCCAGAACCAGAGGAGCCACATTATTTATCTATAAAATAATATCTAAATTATGCCAATAATATCAAAGTTTCTTACCTAAAATGACACATATATAACTTTAGGCACCAAAGCATGCTTTATTCAAAAGTCACATCCAAAATATTATACGTTCAATCTCAATTTTGAGTTCATTTTAAGTCTCGATATTGAAATCTCTACATAAAAGGAATGACGGTCTTCGGAAGGCCTGAAAGTGCCACCAACCCCCTCTCAAATGCCAGTGTCCTCAAACAGGAGTCGATGTGTCTCAGGAAGGCCAAGGACAGAACTGTGGGCAGGGAGACAGGCGCACTGGGGTTTAACCAGGAGGCAGTCCTTGGAGCATTCATGGAAAGAGCTGACAAGAGATCACAGTGGAAAAAGGCAGACAATAAACCGGCCTTTCTTTTCCCTCAATATACCAATTAGGAAGCAGGAAGTCTATTAGGCAGAGAGAATACACAGATAGGCTTGGAGAAACAGGTGGGAAGCCTGTATTCTCTCAGCTGTCCCACAAGTTACTGAATCAGATACATTTATGACCCATGCTAGGCTCCAAAACAGGATTCAGACACTCTGTGATTCTGGTGAAAGCTCCAAGGGTACGCCAGGGTTTCGTTGGCATAAAGACCAAAGGATGTCAGACAAGCAGAGTCCTCAGCTCTAGCAACAAATCTTCATGCCGGTGGAATGGGAGTGATTCACATCTTATTTCTGAGTTAAGATCTAGGCGATCAGAAGGAATACTAATGGTTTCAGAATAAAAGGACCAAAGTTTAAGCACCCAAAAGAGAATTTTTTAGATGAAGCCGTATCACTGAAGAATTACACTGGAAAATGTCCAGGGCAGGGTCCCCAGGCTAGAAGGACACTTGAATGTCACTAGGACATAGTGTTTGTAGGAAGCCAAACTTATGTTATTTTCTTTTAGTTTCATTGCATGGCACAAGGGGGTGAAATGAGGAGAGGGGTCAACTAATGCAGTACAGGAAGAAAAAGCTGTCAATTTTGTAGGATTATATTTGTGTTTCCATTTAGGGACCCATTTCCTGTCCTTTAAATGGCACAGCAATTCATGAGAACATGAAATTCATCCCCCCAGAAAAGATCCACAAGCTTAATTTTCAAGTAAACACAAGACTGTGCAGCCCACGGAAGTGATTACAGGTTACATTTTATTTTTTTGCCACAACTCCTATACTAAATATGGTCCAGTCCTGGAAGAGCAGCAAAGGCGATTTATCCCACCGTCTAGGGGCGGGTGTCGCATCTGCCAAATCTCATGCCTCTCTCCTCCCCACTGCATCTCAGGATGCAGACAGGGAGCTTGGTTAGTGACTGTTTTCACGTCCTTCATGCTTTCATCTCTAAATTCAGGCTAACTCTTCAGTCCACAATCCACTACATAAGCCAGTCCTGCCTAAACATCTGTCACAATTACCACATGCGATCACATTTTCTCTTTCCCTGCAAGCAACTGAAGAGGGAGCATTCTTCCCAGACAGCACTGTGCAATCAGCAGCAGCAGAGTGAGAGAATTCAGCAGAAGAGAGGTAGGAGTGTTAGCTGGAATTAAGAGAAGAATGTTTGAGAGGTATAATCAGAAAGGTTAAGTGTTACAGATAAACTCCAGAGGCTAAGACCTGGAGGAAAGCGTATCAATGCTGGAAAGACCAAGAGTTAAGGCTTAGAGAGAAGTTACCTCCTAGTATGGCTCAAAGGTTCAGCGGACAGGACTCAGTAGAAGGGACTGAAAAATAAATCCAGCTGGTCCAGAGGCCTAGCCCCTCTCACCCTCAGCTGAAAACCAAGACAAGTCATTCCAGGCATGCTTACAGCAGGCGTGTTTGCAAGTTTGAGGACTCAGTTTTAATATAAACTAAAAACAGAACTAGAATGCAGTATTACAAAATGTTTTCACAAATATAATCACAAAAAAACAAGTCAGAATATTGCATAGAAAATTATCCTGTAATATGCTTTGTAAAACTAGGTCTTAGTAACTTAAAAATAAAAAACAAACAAAACCTCCCTTCACAGTCTAGAAGTCCATGATGGTGAACTGAAAATTATCAAGTTGGCAGATTTTGTAGCAAGACCTCAGAAGATCGCAAAGTTCTTCATAGCCTTAGAATCATGATTAAATTTGCCCTTTGAAGGCCCAGGCTGGCACAGTTCAACAACAGTATCTTTCTAACAGGACTTGGGCTTTGTGAGTCCAAGCCAGCTCTATGGTCTCATGCTCTGCCCTCTCTGGTAGGAGAGGTAGCCAAACACACAGGGACATGAAATCACTGCTACCACTTTTAAACCTGGTCTGCTTGTCTCACGTTAGTCTATCACTAAACAAGCTACATCTGCCTACCTTTTAACAGCAAGGTTTGAAGAGCCAGTTTAAGAATAAGTGAGAATGTCTTAGAAAAGCATTTAAATTAATCTCAGCAATAGGATGGGAGACTCTTAATCTCCCTTGTAACATGCATCAATTGAGTCTGAGTTAAAATACACCACAGTGACAGTGATGTCATCCCTGTACATCCTCGCCAAATCCTCCGGCAACGTCAGCATGGCCGTCAGCCGCTCCGGCTCCATCTCCCCATACTCGTTGCTCCCAATGGCATGTCTGATCAGATGTGTGGCTGCATTCTGGTCGGCAGCCTGGAGCCCCTGGGCTTTCCTCTGCAGCAGCAGGCTCTGCATGAGGCCCAGGTTGGCAGGTCTCTGGGCCAGGTCCGGCTTGTGCCGACCAGCTTCAGCCAGGTGCTCCACCACCAGCCTCACTACATCCTCATTGCCCAGCATGTCCCACAGGCCGTCTGAGGCCAGCACGAGGAACTTATCCTGGGGCCTCAGTCTGTGGTATGTGACCTCAGGCTTGGCAGTCAGGTAGGGTGGAGTATAGTAGTGCGGGGAGGTGAACTGGTAAATGTTGAGGGCCTCAGTGTCAAAGCCCCTCTCTAGGACACTGCGTTGCAGCTCCTTGCTCCACTTTAGCTGGACGTCCCCAAAGGCCCTGCAGGGCATGAGGATGCCCAGCAGCCTGTCATCCATGATGACTGTCTTGTCCTCTGACGCAGGATGCTCCTTCTTTAGCCGTGACAACTCAGCCTGGTTCCAGGCATTGTGATCGCGGGTGAGGGGAAGACAAGACCACATGCCATTGTCCTCCTGGACACCAAGGATGGCCCGACAGTCACCTGCGTTTGCCACATGCAAGTGAACTCCGTCGACATGGGCCATGCAAGCTGTTGCCCCGGAGAAAGCGACCTGGAGTGAAAGGTTCCTTGTCATCTCATCTTCCAGGGGGGCCTGGATTTCCAGCGAGATGTCAGAATCCAGTCTCTGGAAGGAGTACATTAATGCTTCCTCAATGTTCAGTCCCATTTCCATGTGCACGTCAAGCAGCTCCTGCCAGTAGACACGGAGGTGATCAAGGTGCATGGATGTGACATCCTTATAGATACTGTCCCCTGGATGCTTGAGCCACTGCAGGATGGGCAGCAGGGGCTTCATGCTTTCCATTGCTCCCTCCATCTGCTCCAGGGTCTGCTGGGACATCAGTGACACTGCCACATAGTAGAAGAGCCGTTCGCTCACTGCTTGAGCACATGCATGGCCACCATGTCCATCAAAGATGCCAAACATGAGCCCATTGGTCTGCAGGCAGGAGGCCACACCTCGTCGGTCCTCCACTGGGGAGTTGGCAGCCAGCTGGTTGCTCTCAAACCGCAACACGGAATTTGGAACTCCGTTGACCAGGTCAAGAATCTTGTGGGCAGACTCACCAGCTCGAAGCACTTCATTTACCTGCTCAGGGCTGAGCTGTAAGTGGAAATCGTCTTCCTCCGTTGATGTGTGTCTGTAGGCTTTCTGCAGAGCAAAGCTACCACATGGTGCATCATTTTTTAGAGTGGCCAGTGCCGGGGAAAAGAGCCTCCATTTTGATTTATTCCAATTTGAGGCACACCTTGAATATAAACGTCCACCTCCTTGTAATGTGGCAATGCTATTCCTTGCAGAATTTAAGATCCAGTAGGACACAGAACTTGACATTCTGAAACTATATATATCAGCAAATACGTTCCTTCAGCAAAAGTTTTTTTAAAACCTGAAAATTAAAGAGTTTAAAAAAGATAGTTATTACTTTTATCACTAAGTGTATACTCCTCCAGACACTCTGTACGCATTTTTGTATAGTTGTAACCACAAATTAGAATACAGTTTTCCTGTTAAGAGCATTTTACTTATATCACATTTCATGGATGAGTAATATCCTATTTTAGCATAATCAATCAATTTACTTAACTATTTTCTATTATTGGGAATTTGGAGGTCTTTTCCACTGGTTCCCTATTTATAAAACGTGAAACTGTACTGCCTTATGCATCAATGTTTTCCCTACTTAGGTTTTGACCTACTTAGTTCCCAAAGGAGGACTCAGTAGGTCAAAGGATGTAGACTCATTGCCAAACTGATTTCCAAAAAGTTCACATCTGCCTCCACAAGGGCATAAATGATACAGTTTCTTAGCACCTTCAGTGGCCTCTGGTGGCATTTTTCCTTAGACAAAAAATGCTGCTTTATTTTCTATTTTCTCGGGTGACACGGGAAGAGGAGCGTTTCCCATGAGTTTTCAGATTTTGTCAATGAATCCTGCTCTCCCCAAGTCTGTCTGCTGGGGTACTGACAGCTCCTAGAACTGAGGACCATCGCCCTCCCCTCAGTCCACCCGCTGAACTTGGGGCAGGAGCGGTGGGTCAGGAGGCGCAGAGGGCTCCTGGGGTCCCCCACCTCTCTTCTGCCTGGTAGAGAAGCCAGGTAGTGGTGCCCGACGCAGGGCGGTCGGCCGCAGCCCGGACCCAAACAATTTCGCTTCCCTAGAGAAAACAGGTCCCAAATTCAAGTCTGTGACCCACAGCCTTATAGATAAGAGCGCAGCCTCCGACGTCCACCAAGTAGGATCTCCCCCAATCCCCCAAACCCCGGAGCGGCCACGTCCCTGAGCCCCAGCTTCCCAGTCTGTAACACAGGAGAATTCAGCCGAGACGCCGAGCTCACAGGGGTGCTCCAAGGGCTAAAGCACGTGTGTGCCCCAGTTGCCAAGGGTCCTCGGCGAGAATGCGTGCGCGCCAGTGGGGTGACCGTGGCCGCGGGCCCGCCCCCTCACCTCATCTCACCTCGGCTCTCCACCCCATCACACGAGCCGATGGCGCTGGCCAGAGAGGGCCGGGCGCCAGCGAGACCCGGCGGGGTTAGAGGCGTCCACATCCCACGCTCGCCCCTTTCCCTTCCTCGGCCCCTAGCCCTCCTCTCACCAGCTTGAGCCGCCGCCGCCGAGTCCGTCCCGTCAGTTCGGCGCCTGCGCACGCTGCAGCTGCTGCAGCCACCCGGGTCTCGCCTCCCTGAAGCAGCTCCCTGAGCGGGTCAAGCTCGGGAAGGAAGCAGCCTCTCGCCAGCCTTTATTGGTTCATCTGCGGAGGCGGGCGCTTGACGGACAGCGGAAGTGCCCAATGGCTGAGCAGGGCTAGAGGGGCGGCAGAAGGGCGGGACCCGGAGGCGCCAAATCCGGTTCACCCCCGCCCACCCCCGGGGCTCTGAAGGTGGCTAGGCTGCCTGCGGGCTTCCAGACCAGGCAGTCTTGTGGCTGAGCAGCCCCACGACGTTACTGCCTCCACTCCGCACACCCCAAACCGAGCAACATCTCCACTTCCTTACCGTTGTTAGTAGTACCCACGGCTTCCTCTCCATTTCTGTGCCGTCCTGTCCAGATCCTTCTCCTAGGTGCCACACCCTCATATTCAATCACTTGGACACTTCCTTCTGGAAGCCCTGACACAACTTGCCCCGAGCTCTTCCTGCCAGACCTGCTCTTCGTCTCCTCCCCTAACCCAGTCATGGCCCAGCCATCTGCCAGAGACCCAAGCCAGAAGCCTGGGAGTCATCTTCACAGCTCCCTCTCCTTCATCCCCACTCACTCTCCTGTTGGTTATCTAATCCTGTTAATCTTGTCTCCTAAATGTCCCTCCAATCCAAATATTTGCCTCTGCCTACTCCACCATCCGACTCCAAGCCTCTCTTCCGGTCTCCTCACCTCCGGCTGTGATTTGGCTTTAGGCACCCTTCCTCCACAGAGCAGCCAGAGTGACGCTTCTGAAATTCAAATTCCTGCTCTGAAGTCTCCATTGGCTCCCCACTGACCCTTGGGCCTTAAACCGACAATTACGTTGGCCTGGCCACTGACAGTTAACTGCACATGGTTAAGTGGTAGGTAGTTTGAGAAAGACTGAGAACGAGGACGCTAGATATTCGTGGTGAAATTCCAGTTATTGCCTGCTTCCTTATGAATTACCTTAATAGAACCTGTCAGACTTGCCCCTGGTGTGATATTTATATTGCCACTCACCCTCGGCCCTTTCAAGAAGTTCTACCGGTAAGTTAGAATTGGCAGTATGTCTCTTCCTGGATATTGAGAGGGCTGTTTCCGACTCAAAATAAAGATAACTCTAAGGGATTCTAAATAAATGGGTGTAATTTTTTTTGTGTGTAGATAGTTCATTTTGGGTTACAGAAGGTCATCCTTCAGGACAGAGGCAGCACAGTTTACTTACTCCATCTGCAGGCATTTCTGGGTGCCTACAATATGTCAGCCCCTGGGCCGACTGGAGACGCACAGATGGCCGCCCCCACCATGTTTTCCGGAGAAAAATTACATCACTCTGCTAAGTCTGAAACCACTCTAACTTACCACACACTCCCCACTTCCAAAGTAAAAATGCTCCCTTGAGGATTTTGTGTGCACCAGAACTTTTGCTTAAAGGCTGTTAACCAGCTCAGTCACCCTGTATATGGTGGCCAGCCCAAGAACCCCAGCTGGTCTCCCAGGGCTTCCTTGTCCCAGGGTCTTATAAGAAAAAAATGAAGGGAAAGGACTTCTGTCTCCCTTGGGAAAGGGAAAGCTGCAGCTGGCTCAGCTGTCATTTTCTGAGAAAATATGTAAAAATATTCATCCTCACTCAAAACCAAGCAAATGTGAATTAAAATGAGATATTGATTTTTGTCAATCAACCTGACAAATATTAAAAGATGATTAATATGTAATGTTGGTGAGTGGGCATTGGCATCTTGGCAGATGGGAGTGTGAATTGAGACTATCCAATGGACAAATCTTTGATCCTCTAATTCTGCTTCTTTTAATTTATTCTAAAGAGACAGTCAAAGGTAAACATTACAAATTTCCTACAATAAACGTATGTATACATTACTCCATCTGGCATATCTTGTATAATCAGGAAAAAAAAAAAGGAAGCAAAACCGTAGTTTAAAAACAGCCACTTGGGGCTGGCCCCATGGCCCAGTGGTTAAGTTCGCACGCTCCGCTATGTTGGCCCAGGGTTTCACTGGTTCGGATCCTGGGCGCGGACATGGCACTGCTCATCAGGCCATGCTGAGGTGGTGTCCCACATGCCACAACTGGAAGGACCTGCAACTAAAATATACAACTATGTACTGGGGGGATTTGAGGAGAAAAAGCCAAAAAAAAAACACCAAACTATTGGCAACAGTTGTTAGCTCAGGTGCCAACCTTTTAAAAAAAGAACAGCCAGAGGTGTGGCAGGGTAGAGATTTCTTGGATGATTCTGGCAAAGTCCCCTGATTCCTTGGCTACCCAGATAAGACCTTCTATGGAATGTTAGAAAGCTAGATTTGAGGATGATCTTGTGTCAGGAGGAACTGACATGCGGCAGCCAGTTTTTGTGTCAAAACTATAACATCCAGCCTGATATCTGGGAGAGTTTGTAAAAACCTCAGGTTTCTTTCTTCTTTGCCGATGAGTAGATGAGCTTGCCCTTAACAGTGGTTCTGTGGATCATCACTCCCCAAGGCATCTGAATAAACCCAGATCTGAGCATATCTGTGCCCTGAGACGATTGTCCCAGAGACTGATGCCATCCCCAATCAAGTGATTTAACTTTATGCAGAATTTTCTGTCACCCTGGAGTCCCAAGTGTGAGGCCCAGCTCTGCCACCTGCTTGGGTGTGATCCTGGGCTAGTCACTATCTTCTCTGAGCTTCTGTAGAACGACTTGGAAACGGCAGTGTGTAGGCCTTGTAGTTGTCATTTGCACTCCAAGTTGCCAGTGACTCACATCATTTCTTGGTGTTGTCGGTGTCGCAATCCAATGTACACATCAGGATAGATGCGGAGAGGGCTGATGGCCACTCCGAGTTTATTATAACCAGCGTTTCAATATATACATAGCTTACATCTGTTAAACATACACAGGTGTTCTGGATGAAGTAATTAGCGAATGCCAAGAATTCTTAGTGATTTCTCAAGGAGCCCTCCCTTGGCCTCTGTTTTGATATTATCATGTTATTGCTGTGCTCCTATATTTTTATCTCGGAGCAGGCAAGGTCTCTTAGGCAACGGTCCCTCTTGCTCCCGATATCGATATCGTTTCTCCATCTGTGCCCCAGGCGGCTGCCCGCCTGGCTTAGGTTGCGCCCCCAGGGGGTCTTACCCGTCATTGGCTAACCGGCCTTCTCACCTCTGGGTCACAGTTTGTTGGCAAGCTTTTTCCAGTGATTATTAACCCCTCCTGTGTCAGGGGCGGCTACAGGTGTGGATTTGCAGAGGAGCAGAACAGCTCTAGGGGTCTGGTGTGGGGAAGAGGAGGGAAAAAGAAGGTGAGAGACAGCCCTGCAACCCCCTGGAAGCACACACTTCCGTGCTTTCGCTTGCAGTGATGGTACCCTGCCCCTCCCCCAGCCCCAGGCTGAGCGAGAGACCTTGGAGTGTGCTCAGTCAGCAAGCAATGGTGCAATGGTCCTCGTGTTGCAGCCTGTGCTACCCTGTGAAAATTAGCTCTCAAGGAAACTGCAGATGCCCTGTGGCATCACCACTTTCGGGGAGGCCCTGCCCCAGCACATGAGCACAACTTTCCGGCCCCTAGGGACAGCTAGGGACAGCTAGGGAGTGACAGGGGTTGGGGCAGGGGTGGGGGGCTACCAGTGTCAGTGCCTCGGCCTGAGCAGGGGCCCCAAGCATGGGGTTAAACTGAGCCAGAGCTATTGGCCAGGACAGAATGTCAGACAGCAAAACCTGATTACGACAAAGAAGAGTGGGAATTTTGATACTAACAACAATTATTTATCTATGCATTTCTTCTCTTCCTCCTCCCTGTCCCTTGGTGCATGCCTCTTTGCAGGCAGAAAAAAGTTTAGTAGGACACACGCCAGGAGTCAACAATGTTATCTCTGGGTCACCAAACTCGGTAGGAATTTTCACATTCTTTACCTTTCCATTTATTTCTTTATTTACTTTAAAAATTTTTTAACATGGAGCACATATTTAATAATCTGAAAAACCCCAGTAATGTCTGTTCTACACATTTGCACAGAGAAGTCGTGGGGAAGCAGGACAGCTGGCTGTCCTGGGGCCAGGGAGCAGCCGGGGTGAGGGCTGGGCCTACCCTCTGGCCCTGGGGGTGGGGCCTGGAGGGAATGTTACTTTAGATCAGGAAATCTGGGAAGCTCCTAGCATAAGATAGGCCTTGGAGAGAGAAGATAGGCTTTGGGGAGAGATCTGAAGGAAGTTAGAGAGTGAGCCTGGCAGTATCTGGGAGGGAGCATTCCAGGTAGAGAAGACAGCAGGGATAAAGGTCTTGGCCTTGAATTTTATGGCCAGGCCTGCCTGCCCCATCTCCAACCCTTGGGCCAGGGCTGGAAAGGACCAAGAGAGCATCTGCTCTGTGCTTTTCTAAAGTGTGCTCCATGGAACACAATCTCAGAAAATGTTCTGAGAGAAAAGGGCCACCCTTGCAAGAGATTCACAATGACCAATGGCTTAGTCAAGACCCTGAAAAAGCATGCAGTAAAAGGAATTTATCCATCTTTATTGCAGCCATTCTAAACATTTCATCACGAACCTCCTTTTTGCTGTAAAATCTACTCACATTTGGCAGAACCCATGTACTTTGTGCGATGCCCATATATCCATTCTTTGAAGAGGAAAATAAAGTCCAGAGACCTGAACTGATGTCCCCAGGTTCCCTGGGGTCCCACTTTCAGCTTATGGCTGAGACGGGTCTGAGCCCTGTTTCCTGGACTCACAACCAAGCCACTCTTCTAGGAGCTTCTTACTACATTTAGTAACCATGGGGCCAGTTAGTTTTCTCCAAAACCAGAGGGAGAGCTCCTGTATGCTTTCTCACCATTCTCTGTTTTTGTTTAGCCATCTTTAGGCAAAAATTGTGATTTAAATAGGGCCTTCATCTCCATGTGGGCTAGCAATATATGGGTCTTTTCTGAGCCTGGTCCCCCAGTGGGCAATGCAGGGCTGGCGTATTTCAAACACACTCATGGAAAACCAAATATTCTTTAATCAGCCAATAGTGGCAATCGAAGCCTCCACCTGAACACCCTACTTCTTGCAGAAGCCTGAGAATCCATGAACTGGATGTTTTTTCTTCCCTGCTGAAGACCAGGGTGGCACTGTGGCCTTGGGACTCATTTTTGACATGCCAAGCCCCCGAGTATTTTTCACACCTGCTTTTCCGACAGGCAAGAGCCTCCTCTGGCACCAGGCACCCTGTGTAATGTGCTGGTTTCAGAGGCTGGGCCTTGAATGAGGCACACACGGAACCCCAGCACTGCCATTGACTGGATGCATGACTTAGGCAAGGGACCTTAGCTGAATTCAGAGCCTCTGTTCCTCCATCTGCTGAATGGGGGCAGCCATTCCCACGTATGTTGTGGGGGCAGCCACCTCTCCCCAGCTGTGTAGTGACTACAGAATAGGGGCAGAGGGGAGTATGTGGGGGTGTTGAAGTGGAGCTGTCCTCCTTTCCTTGGCTCCGGAGTTATTTCTGTCTG